CCCCTGCACACACACACACACACACACACACACACACACACACACACACACACACACACACACACACACACACACACACACTGTGCTTGCCTACTCTGGGAGAGATGTCATGCTAGTTAGGTGGGGCCCCCTGCCAAGGGCTGCAGTCACGCTGCAACTGGAAGGACACAGTACAATAAGCTGGGAGTGGAGGGGAGTGGGGGCAGCACAGTCCCAGCCCTGCTGCTCTCACCTTGGGCTCTACTTGGTCAAGTGGCTCTGATACAGCTGCAGCAGCCATGAGGAACCAGGGCAATGCTGCTGCTGCTGCTGCTCCCTGTCCCCCAGCTGCAACTGTGCCTGGCATGATGAGGCTAGCAGCCCCCACTTACCCAGCACCCTCCTCCGCTTCATGCTGTTCAGTCTCCCACACGCAGGTGTGTCCCCCCACCAGCAGCAGCCTGCAGGAGGATTTGTTGAGGCAGACCAGGCAGAGCTGCAATTGCTGCTGCTGGGCAGGGAGGGAGGTGAGGGGGAGCCAGCCCTGCTGGTGATAGTACAGCAAAAACTGCAGAAGGGGCTTCTTCCCCGCCCTTACTAGCTCCTCCCAAGGGGTTTTCAGGTAGCACCTCCTCCTGAGTCTCTTGAAAGAGCCCAGGGCAGCAACTTAAAATAACTTTTTTCTTAAAAACAATTTATTTGGCATGTGCCAAGGAAAATATCTCCATGTGCCACTATTTATCATGCATGTTGGGGGTTGCCTATCCCTGGTCTATCACTATCCTCCTTATTAACCATCTTCCAGGTATTTAAAGATCCAGTCAACCTGTGTTTATTATCTGTCAGAGGATGACTACCGTGTGATGTTATTTGGTCGTGAAAAATGCAAATATAATCTTGATGCATCAGGAGTCATATATGAGACCCTTTAGAGCAGTGATGGCCATCCTTTTCAGGTTGCAAGCTGGAATGTTCAGCTTGGGTGAGGGGCAGATACTAGGACCTGGCTATTACCAGTACTGCTTCTCTCTGTGGTGACATGAGGACAGTTCCCTTAGCCCCCACTTCTCCCTGCAGCATCATGGGAAGAGCAACTGCCGCCGAAGCCCCACATCCGTGTGCTGGATCAAGCGGCTCTGCAGGCAGGATATCTAGAGCCATCAGCTGGAATACAGTGTACAGTTCTCTCTTTGCTCTTGAATTATTTGCCCTGGTAACCATTTGGTATTCTTAAAAATGGAAACAAAGTGCAAGATGCTAAATTTATTAGGTACAGGACAGAGAAAAATACCGTTACAGAAGAATGCTTAGAATACTCTAAGTCATGCAGTGTTTAGTTAGGACTTTGACATAACTAATAATGTCTAATGGGAACTTGGTTAACTATTTAACTTAGTACTAAGGCCATATCCTAATAGGCATACTGGCTAAAAGTGATGTTTAGTATATGCCAACAAGCATTTCTTTCACATACTAGTACTGGGCGTGCTATCATTAAGCCAGTGTTGCATCACTTTACATAAAATGAACTCACTGAACCTATCACTTTGAAAATGGCAAAATATCAATTAAAAAAATCATGCAAGTAGTCCAATGAAAGATACCACCTACAAGAATTCTTGCCTCATGCAACAAAAACCCAAGTCTCTCGTCCTTGCAAATATTCTGCATTTCTTAATTTCTATAGCAATATAATCCTAATGGAATTGTTAATTTTTCAGATAAAACACCTGGCCTCAGGTCCCCTTCGTTGCAGTTTTAGAAGCACGGAACAGTTACTCAGAAAAAGATGCAAGTCATGTTGCTCTTCAGCAAGTGTTGAAAAGTGAAGTAACCAGAACATACTTGGAAACAATGTTTTTGGGGAATTATAAATTGTTTTAATGCTATTCTATCTCTCATGGCATCAGAAGATTAGATACTTATAGACCAGTGGTCCTTAGTATTTTGGCCCCAGGGGCCAGAAGAGTGGAATGGAGCCAATCTGTGGGCCCAGTTGAGCCCTGCACTTCCAGGATCAGGCCCATGGGCCCAGCATCTCCCCCTACTGCCCATGCACACTGGGATTGGGCCCTAAGAGCTTGGCACCACCCCCTCCCTGCCCCTTACACCAGGATTGGGCCCTAGGGTCCAGTGCTGCTCCGATGTGCCAGGATTGTGCCCTGGGACCTGACATGGCCCCCACCCAGCCCTGTGCCCTGGGTTTGGGTATCTGGTCCAACACACAGGGCTTGTGCCCCCCCATGGATCTGGAATTTTGGTAGCAGGAGAGTGGTGCCACTGCTGCCACACTGCCAAATTTCCAGACCTATGAGGAGCCCTGTAGGCCAGATGACATGAGGCAGCAGGTTGGATCTGGCCTCTAGGCTGGGGTTTGAGCACTCTAGTTTTAGGCATTTTCCAAATAGCAGTGGGGTCTGTGTTGCTCCAAACTTGCTAAATGGGCCCGTCTCCTTTCACTGGGTTAAAAGAGTTCATGGCCATTGACTTATTGTCCCTGACTGACTTCTCCCAGAATGGAGCAGTCAGCAAGAAAGAGACTAAGTGCCATTTTTTCCTATACAGCTGGCTAATACAATTCAGCCAAAGAACCTGCCTTTCTACTAGGGATCTGTGACTAGGACTAGCTAAGCATATTGTGCTGGCCCTCTCTGTAATAATCATAATGTATGATGGCTGAGTTGATTACAAAAAAACACCTTTTGGGAAACGAGCAAAATAGATGCTTAATCCATTGTTGTGTAGGTTTAATTTCAGAATCATAGGCACTGAGTACATGGGTGCCTGAGGGCCCTGACCCCCCTTGGGTAGAGTGTAGGGTGACCACGCATCCCTAATTGGTGGGACAGTCCCAAAATGGGACTATCAAGTCCTGGTTCTGGCCTGCATGACTCCAGGACAGCATTTGTCCCAGTTTTTTCCAGTATCATGCAGGGATCTGGGTTTTCCATTCACCATGAAAAAATGTAAGAAATGGCGGGTTTCCCCTTGTAGGCTGATAACGTTCTAGGCTATAAGGGGCTGCAGGGGGTGCCACATGCATGTGTGCGAGCACACATATGCATGTGACCAGCAATACAGTCCCAGGCAGTGGAGAGCAGCTCCCCCAGCTGCCAGCAGGTAAGTCTGTTGTGGCAGGATGGGGGGCAGATTGAGGCCCCCATGGTGAGGGAGAGATTGGAGCAGGGCCTGGGCCTGGAGGCACTGTCTAGCCAGGGTGGTGCCTGGGGCCAGGACAGGGAGCAGGACAGAGCCACAGGTGGCTTGTCCAGGAGGTGGGGATGGGGCGCTCCCTGCCACTGTGTACACTCTCAGGGAGGGGTGTATGGGGGGGGGCATGTGCCCAGATTTGTGTGTGGGGTATGTGTGGGCTTCCTGTTGTGGGCTTGGGGCTCCCTGTCCTGCTGCCCTCACCCCAGGAGCTGTGCACCGGCCATGCCGCCATGGTGAGGTGCCTCCTGACACCAGTGGGAGCAGTGGCAGTGATCGCATCTCAGAGTTGTGCCCCCTGTGCTGCTGCTGGGCAGGCAGGGAGCACCATGCCATGATGGCACAGTTGGCGTGGGGCTTCTGGAGGAGGGCAGCAGGGTGGG